TGAAGTCAGTGGGCAGCTAGGCAGGGGGTTCTGTGAGAACTGTGCTGGCAGGGGATGAGGCTAGTGACTTTCCTAAGCACTAGGCTGGTGCAAGGAAAACTTTCTGCCAGAGAAATGAAAGACTGCAATGGATCCTTAATTGGCCAACATCATCACGGCCATTTAAAAATTATTGTCATCATTCCCTGAGGTCCATCTCTAAGCCTCCATTAGGATCAGGCACAAATATCTGCCTGAAGCCAGTCACCTCTGGAAATGTGGGGGGGTGGGGTGTGTGTGTTGGAAGAGGGAGGGAGGAGGCCCCATGCAGGTGCAGGAAACCCCACTGAGGAGAATCACAAATGCCTTTTGTTTAAAAAGGCAGGGGCCAGGCATGCCCAAAGAACATGCCGGCCATTCATTTTCAAGAGGCAAGGTTATTTCTGCAGCCTAAAATTGGAAGTTCTGGATCTTTCTCTTCTTTCCTTCCCTACATCCCAGCAGTAACAAGAAATAGCCACCTCCCCCATTCACACCTATAATCCACTTAGCAATTTACCAAGCACTGCTCACAATACCCCTGGTTTGAGTCTCAGAGTAACTGAAAAAGAAAGAATGGGCAGGTAGGTCTATAGTCGCCATTCTGTTTGAACAAATACCTCTGAGCCTCAGGAAATTTGGGGACTACCCCAAGTGCACTCAGCTAGGAAAAGGCAGGGTTCCTGCATGACACCTGGCCCCCACTGTCCTCAATGAGTGTTCCATGCGGCAACCCCCCTCACCACGTCCCCCAGTATGCCTTCCCTCCCCGTCCCCAAGTGCAGCAAACTCAAGCCCTGACAGACAGAAGCCCTGGATGGCAATGCCACCACCCTGACTTAGGCAAGAGGGCAGGGAAGTGCCCAGACCCCCATCCCCAGCAAAACAAAGGACAATTTGCAAGGCCTGTCAGTGGGCAGACTGGAAGGACCCAGCACGCCTACTCTGTGTACAACAAACCACCCGCTTTTTATGTCCTTTGACGCATCATTCCCTAAGCGGTTCGGCGGAAGTTCTCTAAAAAGGAGAGGAAAAACGCTGAGTAAATGCGGGACATTTCTCTAATGGTGATGAACGGTATTCGCTAGCATTTACCGTGTGCTTGCATGTGCCAGGAGCCGTGCTAGGGCTTTACACGCAACTGTACAAAGACCTATTATTTTACAGATGGAGATGAGGAGAGAGCAGAGACCCTAAAATACCTGGCCGGAGGGTTGCACAGATGGAAGGAGGTGAGCGGAACCGGAAGCCCCAAGTCCGACTCCCCGTTCCTGGCGCCTGACGCTTCACCATCTTATTCCTCAGAAAACTCAGCCAGGGGCCCACGGCCAGACAAAGGGACATTTTCACACCTAAACTGTACCCCGGGGACCATAATCGAGTGTGAGTCGGTGGGGGACGCAGGGTAGGGGGAGGGACTCCTGAACCTGGACTTTCTCGAGGTTCGGTCTGCAGCAAGCCCCCTTCACCTGATAACCGCCCTCCTCGCGGTTCCAGCCCCACCCAGGCCGCGCCACCCCAGCGAACGTCTCCAGCCTGCCCGGGTCCGGGCTTCCTCCTCTCTCCCTCTCCTCCCGGGTCTCTCCCACAGACACCAGCGCATTTTAAAGATGTTTCCACTTTATAAATCATCCCTCTCTGGCAGTCACCCGAGGACTGCTCCCCTAACAACACACACACACACACACACACACACACACACACGGGGCCGAAAGGTGCCTTCTCCTCGGTTGAAGGGGATCGGCAATGGCAGAGCGGCTCCCGTGAGATGAGAGTCTTAGGGTTCACGCTGCCCACCCCCCCACCCCACAAAATTTAAGGAAATAGGAAAACATGGTCCAGTCCCCTTCCTCCACCTGTGGAGGGGCATCTCCGAGTCCCCAGTCAATGCAACCCCGAGCAATCGGGCAGGTCCCCAAAAGGAGGCGGACAAAACAGCACCCCCACCCCCACGCCCCCAAGGGCCAGCAGTTCTGCACTTGGGACCTCCGGCGGCGCGACCCTAATTTGCATTCATTTGCATAACACTGCCCCGCCCCTGCCTCCGGTCCCCGCTGCTCCCTGGCGGTGCAGCTCCCTACCGGCTGCCCTGCCCGTGGCCCCTTCGGAAGCTCTGACAGACCCGGAGCTGAGGCCTGAACGGCAGAGGAGGCTGGGTGGTTGTCCCCTGGGCTGAAGATCGAGGGGGCTGCTAAGAGAACCCCTGGGGATCCCCACTGCCCCCGTCTGTCACCCACCCCGAAGGAAAACCAGCGCTGACCTGCCGGCCTTGGTGATGATCATCTCGGTGCCCGCCTCGTGGAACTTCTTCCAGAGCTCCTTCTCATGCAGGCCCACCTTGATGTTCTCGATGGTCTAGGGAGGGCAGGGAGGGACTCGTGTCGGCCTGGCCCATGGCTACACGCGCAGCCCTCAGAAAGGGGGACACAGACCCAAGCGGCCAAGCAGGACACTGCCAACCCTGCTAGGAGCCCAGGCTCCTGGAGTCCTGGCAGATTTCGTTTCACAAAATGGTTCTGTACCATGGGAGAATTTATTAAAATGTAATCAGTGAATGTCATCAGTGAATCTCCCTTCTTCTTCGGAGCTGCATACAGACGGGCCCATGGAGGACACGTAAACCGACCTTGCCTGGGTGGAAGACACACTCCTACACAAACACTCTACCCACGCCCACAGACTTGCGGGCAGACACACCGACCCCGGAGGGGCACCCCTGCCCCTGGCCGACAGCGCGCACCCGCAGACGCGGTCTGCAGACCCGCACAGGCAGAGGGCGTGCACAGGGTCACAGCGACGTCCGTCCCCTCGGCCCCCGGAGCTGGACGGATTCCCGTAGCCACCGGACCAGGGGCCACTCTCCCCGCCTGGTCCCAAGGTTTTCGCCTCTCGTCCTCTAGAGGTCGAGGCGCGGGACCCTTTTCCCGGGCTCGCTGCGCCGCGGGGTACCCCCGTCTCCTGTTCCAGAGCAGCCTCGAGGGCGCAACGTGGAGGAAGGTCGAAAGGCAGAGAAGGCGCCCTGCCCGGGGGACTCCGACAGTCCTGCCCGCAGTGGGGTGGCTTGGACAGACTCTGGCCGCCCTGCAGACAGATCGACGCCCGACTTCCACCCGACCTCCACCCGACGGCCGGCCTAGCCCTACCTGCTCGGCGCCGGTGGCGGCGGTGGCGACGGCGACGTCGGCGCCGGGGCCCGGGGGGCTGGCGAGCGCGGCTCCGCTGAGGCCTGGCGCGGCCAGCGCGGGCTCCGGGGCGTTGGCAGCGTTGGCAGCGCTGACGGCGCTGGCCTCGCCGAGCGCGGCTCCCGGGGCCCGGAAGGCCTCCTCGCTCTCCGACAGGCCCTTATCCTGCAGCATCTCCTGTGGGCACAGCACACACGAGTCACATGCCCCGGTCCAACTCGCCTGGGACCCTGCAGCCCTCTGGAGCTTGGCCGTGGGGGGGGGGGGGGGGCTTCGGCCCCGGCGCACGTGGACCCCGCCCCTTCCTGAGCAGGAGGAGGGAGAATACGCGAGGGCAGGACCCTTTCCTTCTCCCTCCGGGTCTGGACCTGTGAGGGTTTGTGCGCGGTTCAAGGTCCTGCCTGCCCCTGGGTGTGGGGCTGTGCGCTGAGTAGGTCTGGGGGAAGGACCGCCCTCTCGGCATGGCCCCAGCTGCACCCCAGTCCCTCCTCCTGTTGGGCTCCAATGGAACCTGAAGCCTGGTTCTTTTTCGGCTGATCCTTCATCACTGGGGTCCAGGCTCCCTCTTGGCCCAGGGCAGCCAGGACCATTTCTGAGCCGGAGGAGAGGAGAGTCAGGCCAGGAGGGTAGGGCCCAGGTTCCCGGGCTCCACACCAGCAGATAGGGCCTCCCTGTTGACCGGCCTCTCAGGCCCTGGCTCACTCCCCTTCCCTAACCCACTCAGAGAGCACCCCGGTAGATGATTCCTGAACCTAAGGGTTTCCCTCCTGCATGGTCCCGCTCCCCTCGCCACCTGTGCAGCACCCACGCATGCACACACATACACCCAGACGCAGCTGGCAAGTCACCCAAGGAGCCACATTTTCCTAGGGTGGCTCTGATTCAGGCCCTGAACTCAGCCAGGGACACTCCAGCCTTGCCCTCATGTGCACACTGGCTGGCTCAGTCACTCACAATTTTAGTTACAAAGGGCTCTGCTTTGGGGAAAGGACCCAGACCCCTCCCAGCTAAGGACCAGGCCAGCTGGGTGGGCCCAGTTCACCAACACAGCCTAGTCCTGCCCCTTCCTCAGGCGACTAGGACTATTCACCCTCTTGCTTCTGAGCCTGCTCCCTTCTGGAAGCTGGTCCCTGGATGTCAGGATGAGAGCCCAGCCTGCAAGGACCTGCCTGTCTTGCCTCCATCGTGGGTGCAACCCTGCATTATCTCTGCTTCTCCTTTCTACCTCCTAGCTCTTCTCCCTTCATCTGGATCTGGGCAAGCTCTAGGGAGGCTTTCTAAATGTCCAGCTGCCTCTTTTGTGACCAAATGTTCCCCCTTTCTCCTCCTACCTTCTTTCTGTCCTCCCCAGGATCTCTCTGGGCATTCCACGGCCCAGGCCTCTCATCCACTGGCCTCCCATCCCAGGCCTAGACATCGGCTCCCAGGGCCTCACAAAGTAAACAAGCCAAGTGCAACCGAGGAGATAAAAAGGGGCCGGGGCCAGTTGGGGCTGGGAAAAGCCCATAAAGATAAGGCTGACAGCCCTGCCGGTCCTTGAGCCACAGGCACGGAGGAGGCAGGCTCGCGGGGCATAACCAACGCCAGCACGATCCTTGGGCCACAGGCGGGTTCCAGGACCAAGCCTGGAAACCCAGGAGACCCCACGCAAGGGGACACAGCACAACCACAAGGAGGGTGGTTATGCGCTCTGGCCCAAGGCGTTGGTTCCGATTTTATCTGGGGTCAGCCTGGATGGGCCCCGGGGTCGGCTGGTCCAACTGTGGCGGCCGGCGGGGCCGGGAGGGGCCGCCCAGTGCGATGCTCTCCGGGCCGCTAGGTCCCCTGCGCGGCACTTGTCACGCGACGCCCCGTGACTTGCGCCGCGCTCTGGGTCCTGTCCCGTGCGGAGCACATCCGCGGCCCGCGGTCACTGAGCTCCAGTCCCGACGAGGCGCGAGTGCTGCGCGGGGCTCTGCTTCCCCAACTCGAGGTTCGCCTCTTCCTTGTCTCTCAGCCACGCAGCCACATCCCGACATCCCGACGATTCGCCTTCCCTGGAGCTCCCGCTCGTTTCCTTGTCTTCCCCCCCCCCCCCCCCCCCCGGCACGAGCAGACCCGGGGTCCGGTCCGCTCGGACCCCGAGCCCCGGCGCGCTGGGACGCCGGTACCAGCAGGTCCGGCACCAGCCGAGGGCCGCGGCCGGCGCTCGCCCTGCTCCTAGAGCCCTCGGCGGGCGCGGCCGGCCGGCTCCGCGCCCCGTGCCCTCGGGTCCGTCACTTTCAGCTGTCTCGTTTTCTAAGAAGGATAGCATTTTTCTTTCCATTTCTAGATTACTGGTGATACTTTTCTTGTGCCGGGGGAATTGTTAATAGTTTATACTATTTTAAGCATTTTAATTTTCTTTATTATCAGAGTAGCATTCTGGCCAGTTCAATAACATTAAAACTATCCTATCACATACAAGCTATTAGTGCTTTTTATTTTTAATATTGTATGGTTAAAGTACTGGTTTGATTTGTTAATTCATCATTATCAAATATGTTGTTATGGCTTTCCTGTCACATCATCCTAGGGCCTCCTGGCATGTTAGTAATTCTGTTAGTATTCTACTAATACCTAGGCAATCATTAAATACAGTCTTCCAGTAGGTCATGTTAATCTATCATCATTTTTACTCTGTATCCCTAAAATGTTTCCGTAGCTGGTTCCTCAGCCTCTGTTCTTGGTCAGTTTCGATAATTTATTTACCATAACATAATATTATTGCTGTCAATATTCACATTAATTTTCTTCACATTCTTATAATACTTTTTGTTATTTTACCGTTATTTGTTTTGTTAGGATTGTTCATAATACTCCAGGTATTCTTCATCACATCGTTGCAATATCTCATTACTTTGTCATTATTTGTAATGTTATGGATCTTAATTCGCTAGTTATTTTTCATCACATCATTACTTCTTGTTACTTTGTCATAATTTGTCATATTGCTGTAGCTCTTAATACTCTGATTATTTTTCATCACATTGGTACACTACTTCTTATTACTCTATCATTATTTATAATGTTGTTGGGACTATTAAAACCTTGGTCATAAATTGTCATATTACTCCAGCAATTCTTGTTGCTGTCTATTTATAGTACTACTGCTCTTAAGATTTTGGTTAACATTTATTTTAATAATTCACTATAGTATCAACAATAAATTATAGTATTCTGTCAATACTAATATTAGTATTTCCCTTATTAGTATTTTCATTGTTCACCTTTTTCCTACGGTTTTATCATTTTGACACTATTGCTCTTTCTTATTCTATTGCTATTGATTTTAACATGCTTCTCACAGTGTTCCATCACTTTGTCTATGATTCTTTCAAATTTGGGGTTACAGTTTTCACTTCGTTTTGAGAATGACTATTATTTTATTGTTGTTTTAAAGACCCGAGTACTCTATTAGTTATGCCCTTTAGCCCTGCTTTTTGGGTAATGGCTTATATTTTGGTAATTCTTGATCATGGATCATTATTTATATATGATGCTCCTTGCTTTAATTTTGACGACCCTGTTGCATCAAAGGCTCTAAAGTCCAGTGTTATCTCTCACATTTCCACATCGATATTCGCCAAGTACCAGGCCCTCATCCTTGGCCTTCCTTCTTCTGCAAAGACCAATTTCAAGACCACCGCTCTGCTTGTCTCATCCTAACCTTGTTCCTTTGGCGCTGGCACTGTCCTCCCTATGCTCTTGGGTCCTTGGACCCAATTCGCCCGGCTGCTCGGAGGAGAGGAGGTCTTGAGCCACGACCGCTGGGAGTCGGGCCGAGGCGGCAGCCAGTTAGGAAAACACTTCGCGCCGCCCTCTTGCCGCCTTGACCGCCCCCGAGGTTCTTACCCCGGTCCCGTTACTCGTCCCCTTTCCAGCTCATCCTCCTCCACCTTGCAGCCTCACCCTGGTTTCGGGGTGGCCCCCGTCCCGCACACCCTGCTCACCCCCACCCACGCCGGGACCCTCACTCACCCTAACTGCGCTGCCGCAAGCGCTGGTGCCCGCGGCCCGAGGTCCACTGCAAACCCGGGTCCGAGGAGCCCGGGTCAGCCGGGACTCCGACTCGGGGCCGCTGGGTCAGGGTCCCGCTGCCCGCCGCGCCCTCGGGGCCGGACGCATCCCGGTTCTGGAGCGGGCCCTTGATCTCCGAGGCTGCACTTCGGGGCCTCAGCTCCCTCCCCTCCTCCCTCCCTCCGGGGCCGCCCCCCTCCCCGCGCTGACGTCGCCGCTGTCAATCAGTCCGCGCCCGCCGCCCCCCGGGGAGGGGGCTCGGGGTCTCCGGGCTCCGCGGCCCCGGGACCCCGAGCTTCGAGCGGGCTGCCGGCTCCCCCAGCGCGCGGCCCGCTGCCCTCTCCGCGGCCCTCGGGCCCCGCCGGCCGGCCCGGGCGGGGTTGGGAGCCCCGCATGGTTTAGATTAGAGGGGGCAGGAAGACAGGGCGACCGGCTCCGCCGCGCCGCGCGGCTCCCACCCGAGGCTCGACAACCGGGACGGCTGGCCGGCCCGGAGCGGCGGCGCGGCCCGCATCCCGGGACGCAACACGCCGGGGTCGGCGGGGCCGGGGCTCGCTTCCAGACGGCCGCCCTCCGCGGAGCCGCGGGCCGCCGGACCCGCCCGCCCGCACGCGCCGCGGTCCGAGCCCGCTCCCGGGGCCGTGCCCGCCGCGCACCCGCGCCCTGCCGGCCCGCACGGCGGCTCCCGACCATGCCCGCCACACATTCTCACACCTCCGCGCGCCGGCCCGCGCTCGCGCCTGCGGTCGGGCCCCGGGCCCTGTCGCGACGGCCAGGCCCCGGCCTCGTCTGGGACCGACCCCGCTGCTCACCGGCCCGCGCTCGTCCGGGCCCACCGGGCAGCGGGCGCTGCAGTCGGCCGCGGGGGTCACGGGTGAGGGCAGGCCCTCCGCCCAGGCGGGGAGGAGGCCCCGTGGCCTGGGTTTGCAGCGGCGGCGGCGGCGGCGGCGGCGAGGAGGTGCGGCGCCGGCCTGAATCGGAGCCCAGGCCCAGGCTCCGAGGTGCCAGCGCTTGGCAGAGCCTCTTGGGGAAACTGCGGCCTAGGGCCAGGACTCTGCCAGCAGCTCCCCGAGATCGCGGAGGGCTGAAGAGGAAGCCCAAAGCATGCTCCAGTCTAAGCCCAGACGGCTTCGCACCGAGCCAGCCGGCCTCTGGGTCTCGAAAGTGAGTGCCCCTCCGCCGCCTAGACCTCCCTGCCCGGCCTCTGTCTCACTTATCTCCACGTCTCCGTGTCTGTCTGTGCCTCCCCGCAGTCCCCTGCAGCTGCACGGGCAGGCAGTCGCATGTGGACCTCAGCCCATGCCCAGCCTGCCCACCCATGTGCAAAGGCCCGGGAGTCCTTGGTCACTAGAATTCCCAGATAAGCTCCTCAGTTCTCAGCATGGGCTGCATCCGCGCTGGTGTTCCAGCGCGCTCTCCAATCAGCCTCTGTTCCTTTCCAGATTCTGACCTCAAAAGCAGATTCTTGGGTTCGAACAGGACAGGGAAAATCCTTTGCTGGATGGCCCCGTCCCTTTTATAATGCTAGGAGATGGTGAGCGGGTCATCAAGGCTTTCCCCACCCCCCCTGCACACCAAGCGGGAAGGAGAACACCAACTCAAGAAAAGCCAGCTGCCGTTGTCAGGAGCCTGTGATGCTGCTCCACCGTGGGCCCACTGCCCAAAAATCCCCGTCTCCCCGCCACAGTACCAGAGCCTGATGCCCCAACTTCCCTTCATGACTCCTCTCATGGAGCAGGCCCTGGTCGGGGAGTCCTAAACCAGGAAGGGAAAGTAAGGTCTGAGAGAGGTGGAGAAGCTTAATCCTCCCCTAATTGTGCCTCCTCCTGAAGTAGAGACAGGGAAGGCCCTGGTGTTTCAGGAGATGCCTGGGGAGTCGTGTTTCCTGTGTTAGGGAGAACTGGATGACGTTCCTCAGCTTTTGCGCCCAAGCCCCCTCCCATGTCCTCTCCAACAGCCTGGAGGGAAATCCCTGGCAGGTAAATAGCATCTGGACTAACCAAGCAACTCCTGTGTGGCATGGTGAAGAGGGAGGGCAGTCAATCACCAGGTACCACTGGAAGACCAGAGGTAGGCCAGACCCTGGAAAGAGTTTCCTGACAGTCATGGAGGAAGTTCATAATGAGACCATCTAATGTAGCTCTTTAGAGAAGCTATAGAGTGGAAACTTCCTAGGAGTTCAAGGCTTTCTGGAGACTCATGAGAGATAACCTAAATTAAAATTGGCCAGTTCATGATGATGTGGAGAAACGTGATATGGAAGAGACAGGCTAGGTTTTGGTGACTAAAAGGAAGGGGCAAACCAGCCAGCAATTGAGGAAGAAAAAGAGAGAGGTTATATGTGCAAATTCTCCATTACTAGAATGGAATATATTATTTTGTTGATTCTAAGAAACACATTTTTTCACATTTTGACATATCTTAAATTAGGATGCATCTTAACATCAATGGTGTGTCATAGTTTAAGTAGCAGTTTTATTTTTTTTAGTGGTACATAGAGTAATAGAATAGTTTACAATTTATGAAGCATAGTATTTGCTGATAAATGGCCTGTGGAGAAGAGAAAAAGACCAATCCCCCCCCCCCTGCCGCCCCCAGGACAGATATGAGGAGTTCAAAGTACAAACACTCCTCAACTAGCTGAGCTAAGTCGTTCATAACCGAGTATCTATAACGCCACCTTGGGTTACTTAGAGGAAGAGTCTCAGGTTTGGTGTCAGGCTGTCCAAGGTTTTGAAATCTGGCTCTGAGTCCTGGCTCACTATTTAGCAGCTGTATGACCTTGAACAAGTCCCTTGACACCTACATAAAAAGGGGATAATCACACCAACTGGCACAGTCGTAAAGAATCGACCTGCCATTGCAAGAGACAGGAGACCAGGGTTCAATCCCTGGGTTGGGAGGATCCCCTGGAGTAGAAAATGGCAACCCATTCCAGTATTCTTGCCTGGAAAATTCCATGGACAGAGGATCCTGTAGGCTATAGTCCTTGGGGCTGCAAAGAGTCAGACACAGCTGAGCAACTGAGCATGCACGTGCACACCACCATACTAGCAAATTGTGAGATTTGGGTAAGTCAGTACATATAAATGCCTTGCATGTAGTAAGTAGACAATAAAGGTTAGTTCCCAAGTATTTTTAAAATGTATTTTACCCCACCTCTTTCTCAAAAAGGCTTGAGGTGATTTATAACCAAAATAAGCTAATAATAATACAAGTAGAAGGGCAAAGTAGGGTCGAGAAAAAAGGAGAAAGAATATATGCCATCACTAAGTGATGTTGCTATAACTGAGAGAAAATTCTGGCTTACTACCAACAGGGCAAAATGGTAGTTCTCCATTTCAGAAATGTGGAAACACTATTTCCTTGGTGAAGAATGGGGGGAAAACTTTACCTTGGCCCTAAACATTAAAGTATTAATAGATTCTCATATAAATGTTTATTCTTAGATCTGTACACTGTCTTTTCATTTACAAAATGGTTCCATAGCTACTTTCTCATTTGATGCTGTATTAACTCTATTTTTAATCTCCATTTTATGGATCCATCCACCCAAAGAAATATTTATCAAGTACCTACTATGTGCCAGACACATAAACAAGAGGAAAGGCCAACTAAGCATTCTACTAGTTAGCCAGCTGCTTAGCTAACCAGTTACTAACTGCAAATTCACACAACAAACAACCTAAAAACGTACTAATTCATCACCTATATAATCAGTCCCAAAGGGAACAGGGGCTGCAGGAGAATCTGGAGAATCCTAGTCAATACCATAAGGTGGCTTGTTCAGAGCCTAGGGTGGGTTTGGTTGAAGATGATTACTTGAGATGGCACCATACGGTAGTGAAAAGCAATTACAATTTTTTAGAAAATCCTAGGTTTGGGAGCATTTAATAATACCAACGTCAAGCCCCACCCCAGACCAACTGAGTCAGAATCTCTGAAAGTAGAGCCAAGGTTGAGAACCACTGCTCTGTGCCAATCATGGAAATCCTATTTCCTGCTCTCCTAGTCTCTTTCAGAGCTGGGAGTGGTCATGTGACCCAGTGTTGGCCAGTGAGGCCCAAAGGGAAAGACTGGAGGGGAGATAGGGTGTGGGGAATTTTTTGCTTTGTTGATAAAAAAAGGAAGACAGTCTTCTTTTCACCTGTGGATGAGATCCTTGGAGTTCTCACGCTCTAGAGACCTTGAGGCAAAAAGGATGAAGGCCAATGTGCTAAGGATATCAGAGCAAAAAGAAAGAGCCTGGGTTCCTGATGCCATCACTGAGCAGGTAAACCTGCTCTTGGAATGTGAGAAAAAATAAACCCTATTTCTTTACATCATTGTTAGTCTGACTCTCTGTTAACTTACAGTCTTACTCCTGAGATATATGCGAAGGTCCCAGCTCAGTGCTGAGTGAGTCCTTGGGTGTTCCATAATGAAAGATACACATTTTAGTGTCTTTATCTGTTCTTGTGTATGTGCACATACCTTCTCATTCCAATTCAGGAAACAAAATCCCTCCACACTTCCTCCCAGCCACGTTATTCTGTGTGTGCTATGATCTAAGGCCTGGGATCCTTAGTAAGAGAAAAAAGAATGGGTGAGGCAGCAAGGAATTTACCTGTCCCCTGTGGCTTTCTTGTTACCCAGTAGCCCCAACTCTTGGTTCCAGATTCCCCAGCCAACATCCCACTGGGATTATCAAACTCAGGACAACTGGTGGGGGCAGGAGCTTGAGCTCACTCTGGAAGTTGGAGGATGGAACAAGGAGATTGGGTAGTGGGTGGCAGCTGCTGCTGCAGGTGCTTCCCCTCTTACCACAGGCACAGGTCTGCACACCTGACCTCTCACCCTGGCCTCCCAGGCCTTCTCCCACAAAGAGAATCTGGAAACTTCCAGTTAGAAGGAACTGGGGACTGGACTGGCTGGATCCTGGACCTGGGTGAGATAGGCTGCTCTGAGCCACCTCAGGACTGAGGACAGAGGCAGTGGTTCTCCAATAATACAGGCAGATTCCTCCTAAAACTCTCACTGGAGGAACTACAGAGAAAAAGAATGAATCATCAGATCTGGGTTTTGCAACCTAGATCTCCTGTTCCAGAGTCCTTAACAGTAGGTGGATTCACTGCAGAAAACCAACGAATTTCTTCCCCCTTGCACTACACGCTCCTGAACTGCCCTTCTTTCCATTTCCCCCGGTTAGACTTCCCTGAAACACACATTTATTTTACAGTCTGTCTGAGGAAAGTGTATCTGTGCTACGGTTGCATTAGATTTTTTAAAAAATCTAACTCAGAGAAATTATTTAATTTTTCCACCCCTCTGTCCCTTCTTTCCTTCTCTTTCTCCCTTCCATCCTTCCTAAGCATAGATTATCCTAAACCAGCTTTTAATTTGGGTCCTCAAGGATTTTTCTGAACAAGGGGCTGAAACAAATCAGAATTCAAGAATAAGAGAGTATTTGGGCTATCAGACAGCCCTTGAAATTTGAAGTTTAAAAAACCTGAACTCATGTCCTCAACAGGCTGTTGACAGAGGGACCTGGAGTGTGATCTCCTTTAAGCCTCTGTTTCCTCATCTGTAAAATGAATTGAATAATAACTGCCACCTCATAGAGTAGTAGAAAGGACGAAGTGATTTCACACAGATAAAAGTGCTCGCGAGCTTTCACCCCTCTTGCTGCACTCGGTCCATTTTCTTGCTTCTAAGCAGTCAGAGGCACGCTGGGGCTGTTAACTGGTCAGACCTCCATAGTAAGAGTTTCCATTCCCTCAGCCGAAGCTGGGTGGATGGAGCTGTCCAAGGAGCCCTGCGCTCAGGAGCCATGCCAACACTGGCACTGAACAGGGCACAGACCCCGGCCTGTGTGTTCCTGGGAGGTAGCGCCCC